CACTTTCACAACTACATTTTCACCCCTCACTACCACATCTGGCACTTTTACTACCACATCTGTTACTTCCACCTCTGGTTCTCCCAGTGCCACATCTGGCACTTTAACAAGTACATCTCCTTCCCTCACTACCACATCCATCATTTATACTACCACATCTGGCACTTCCACGTCTGGCTCTTCCACTGCATCTGGCCCATTTACTACTACATCTGTGCAACGTTCTACCACATCTGCCCCTCTTAGTACCACATCTGGCCCTTTTACTACCACATCTGTCCCACCTTCAACCACATCTATTCGTCAGAGTAGCACATCTGTTACTTTCACCTCTGGCTCTCCCACTATCACATCTGGCACTTATACCACCACATCTGCCACTCCGACTTCCACATCTCATCTCTTTACCTCCCCAACTGCCCCACCTTTGACCTCATCTACCCATTTTAGTACCACATTAGGTCCTCCTAGCACCACATCTGCCTATTTTCCAACTACATCTTCTCCCTTTACAACTACATCCATCCCTATTATTACCACATCTGGTTCTTTTAGTTCCACAACTACAGCTGCTGTTATAACAACAAGTACTCCTTCAGCTACGACTGCCAGTCTCCCTCTGACCACAACATTTGTCCAAGAAACTACCACTATCACACATAAAACCCCAACTCCTCCTACAGTTAAACCCCAAACTACTACCTTTTCACCAAAATCCACAGTCCCTACAACTGCCACCAAAACTACTGCTGCTACAACTTCTTTCCCTTCAACAGTTATTACTACCACTACAACAACCTCATCCAGCACAACTAAAAAGAAAGAGAAGAAAACCAAAGATGGTGATAGCATCAGTGATAGTGGTGGTGGTGATGGTGGTGGCAGCGCTGTTGGTCGTGTTGTTGGTGGCGTTGTTGGTGGTGCTGTTGGTGGTGGTGTTGTTGGTGCCATTGTTAATGCCATTGTTGGTGGCGGTGGTGGCAGCAGCGTTGGTGGCATTGTTGGCATTGTTGGCGGCGGTGTTGGTGGCAGTGTTGGAGGGGGTGTTGGTGGTGGTATTGGTGGTGGCGTTTTTGGTGGTAGTGGTGTCAGCGGTGGAGGCGGCGCTGGTGTTGGTGGTGGTGGTGGCGGCGGTGGTGGTGGTGGAAGTGTTGGAGGTGTTGGTAGCAGTGGCGGGGGTGTTGGAAGTGGTGGTGGAGGTGGCGGGGGTGTTGGAGGCGGTGGAGGCGTCGCTGGCAGTGGTGTTGGGGGCATTGTTGGTGGTGGCGTTGTTGTTGGTGGTGTTGGTGTTGTTATTGGTGGCGATGTTGGTGGCAGTGGTGGTGGCCATCTCACATCTGTTTCACCTTCTACCACATCTGGCATTCTTACTGCCACTTCCACCACTTCCACCACTTCTCCCACTGCCACCACTAGACCTTTTATTACAACATCTGTCCCACCTTCTTCCACATCTGCCCTTTTTAGTACCACATCTGTCCCACTTTCTACCAAGTCAACCCCACTTACTACCACATCTTTCACTTTTACTACCACGTCCGTTCCTCCAACTGCCACATCCCACTCTTTTACTTCCCAAACTGCCCCGCCTTTGATCTCATCTAGCCCTTTTAGTACCACTTTAGGTCCTCCTAGCTCCGCATTTTCCCCCTTTACAGCTACATCTACTACCTTTACAACCACATCTGCTGTTCCTAGCAGCACATCTGGTTTTACAACCACACCTGGAATTTCTGCATCTGGGCCTGTTGATACCACATCTGGTTCTTTTACGACCACATCTTCCCCTCCCACAACTGCAACTGCTGCTAGGACAAGAAGTACTTCCCCAGCTACTGCAGTTACTAGACGTACAGCTACTGAAACACCACCAACTACTTTTTTACGAACAACCAATCTCCCTCTGACCACATCTGTCCAACAAACTGCCACTATCACACGTATAACCCCAACTCCTCCTACAGTTAAACCACAAACTACTACCATTCCACCAAAAACCAAAGTCCCAGCAACAACCAGCAACCCTCCCACTGTTACAACTACTTTCCCTTCGACAAATTCGTCCACCCTGTGTGCTCCTTTTATACAATACTTTTATCATTACCAGAATGTCCTTGACTACTATCAGGTGTTACACCAGTACCAGTATAACAACTAACAGGTGGTTTGTGCTGACGTGTTCATACTTGATATTACATTGTGTTCAAGAAATTACAAGACTATTGTCACCAATGTCTCATTAAATTAATGTAATTATCACTGCAACATATCAAAGTAATGTTTTCAACTTAAATGGTTTGTTTGAATCCATGAATTAGGCTTTTATCTTGCAACCATGCATTTAATGAAGTCGTGAGATCCTGTTTCTTGAATGATTTTGAAAGTGTACTACCATCTATATACTTCCACAAATCCTCATTGTTTCTTTGATTTGATTCTTATCCAAGTCTTTGCACCTCCTCTTCCTTTTCTTTCTGTGCGGGTTGACTCTTTGTTAATAAATATCTTTGGATAGAGAAACAGATTTTTCTTTGGTCAGATGCTTCATTTAAATTGTCTGTCACAGCAAATGCTGACGGTAACTGTAGCAAATTTAGCCGAGTGTTTATTCAAATGGACAAAATAGAAATGTAAGGATTTCACTTTAAATATATAAGCAAGTAGCTACGTGACAGTATTTACAGTATGATAAGGGGATAGTACTTTAATGTTTTGTTTTCAAGGTCCTCTAAAATTGGATTTTATTGTTTCAGTGATTTCACATATTAATATAAAAAAGGACCAAACATGTGAGCGCTGCAGTGCTTGAAATTTTACAGATATTTCACCACAGTTTGAGGAGCTGAACCAATGGCTGCCCTAAGATCATAAAACGTGTTCTAAAGAAGACACAGAGGTCAAAAGTCAATTTTATTATTACACTCAAATATCACATGTTTGCCTCGAGGGTTTTACGACCTGTGCAGCATGAAGCCATCTATCCTGAGACAGCTCCGACATTTCAACAGACTTTTAAATAACAGGAGAAACCTCAAGAATGTGAAATACGCTTTTATTCAATATTGAATTACTAAATATTTCTATGGAATAATTCAATATGAGCATGAAATTATCCCTGAAATAATCAAAAGAGGCAAAGAATATACCGGTAAATGTGAAAATGAAATTAAAAGATTTTTATTTTTAAAACGACATTTTTCAAATGACTACTTATATTTATTTCAGGATTTACTTTATAGCTATATTTATTTACTTTGGTGTCATTTTATTGAATTTTTAATAAAATGCTTCGCTGTTTAACCTGCTGCTAAAAAAAAACAAAGAAAAAAAAGCAATTTCTTACACATTACTTGTTACTTTGTCAAAAAGTAATCTATTACTTTATTATTTACTCCCAGTAGAAAGTAATTCCTCACACTTGTCACTTTACTTTTGCATTATTCTGCAACGTCACCTGAGATTCACTGTCACGTTATTGCAGTTGGCAAAAAAATGGCACGTCGACACAGTTTTCAAGGGTTTAATCAGTGATCGGACAGAGACTTGAACATTTGGAGAAGAAACTGCAGCTTTTAAGCTAGAACTTTTTTTGACAACCTCGTCACAGGACTGACACATGCCACATTCCAATCGTATGAATCGCAGACTGTTGTTAGATTATAGGAGGAATAACTTCCCAAGAAAGTCAGAGAAACCAGCTGATGATCGGGTGAGAAATCTTCCTGTTCAAAGGAACATAAGAGATGCTAAACAGCCACAGAGCAGATGAGCACACAACCTGTTTTATTTTCCCCCTTCTGGCCCACGTTCATGTCACGTGTAAGAGCAGAAACCAAACAGGAAGCTGCACTTTTGAGGTAGGTTTCAGGTAAGTATTAATTTGTTGATCTGAAGATGGTTCGGTTGAAATGAGCTGAATTTAGTTAATAAACTAACATATAAGTCACATGTATATAGAGAGTCTAAATGTCTAAATGCTAGCTTACTTGTGTTATATCCAATTATCAAGGCTTAAGCTCGGGGTTAGAGGGAACACAATCAGGACTTCACCAAACGTACTCTGAATGCGTCTTGCATTTCACACATGCATCAGTACACATGTTGGTTTTTGATTCATGGGAGAATGTTTGTGGTATGTTAAAGTCAAATTTGCTGAAGAATTAGCCATGTTTTCTTATGTAGTAGTTCAACCACTTCATTGGTCTGAATATGCAATACAAAAGTGATAAATGGAAATCAAGGGCAATTTTCTACAGTGAACTTACCACGAGTAGTTGGAATTATGAAGGAAACAAGACCAAATTTAGGTCAAAATAGATGGACTAAAGGCAACATATGAACCTCTTTCATGCAGTCATTTGGCATAATAGAATTAAGTACATTTAACAAAACATTTTTTTCTGTGTATCATCCGTAACCACTGCCTCATTTACATTTAATACATGATGTGCATCAAATTTTTACATGTGCATCAAACAAAACACTAACTAGGACATTAAAAAACAACAAAACGACAAAAAAATTTAACTGGATTCATCCCACGAAGGGCAAAAGAAGAAACTCTTTCACAGATAGGAAGAAATATGTAGTTTATAGAATTAGTCGGTTCGATTTCGTGTCTTCTTCTTTTCCAGACATGTCGGTAAACTCCTCCTCGCCTCCAGTGACTCCCTTCTTCATCCAAACCTTTCCTCCATCAACACAGACCTCTGTTTACACATTTATTGCTTCATCTTCACCACGTTCATCATCACCGCTGTCTTCCCTCTCCTCCCTTCTCTCTCTCTCTGTGATTGACATTGTGAAGCATCACCAAACCACAGCCACAGGTGTGATTAAATCAACACAAGCATGCAGACAGAAACACTCCCAGAGCACTCAGTGAATGACTGGTTGATTTGAATACACAAACTTTGTCCACGGATCATTTCAATTCCATCTACTGCTCATTTTAATGGACTGATAAAATAAATGACTGTAGGAGTGATTTGTCGTAAAAGCAAAAGATTTTTTTTTTTACAAGTTTCCAGTTTGTTGAGTCTGTTGATAAAAATCATTCAGGACATTACTGACACTCATCTGATTGATGCAGAGGTGTTCTGTTTCATGTGAAGTCTTCACAGGTTCTGTCAGGTGTGTGTCTGATTTTAGACGAGCGATTTTTAGGCAGTCAGTTTGTGATCGTCATATTGTTTTATCAATGCAAATGAAACATATTTGAATTGACAGACACAGAGAGCTGGAGCTGCAATAAACAGCCAGGACAGAATATCTGGATCAGATCCTCAGAGTCCACAGAGGAGAGACACAGAGGGAGGAAGCTCAGAGACAAACACTCACAAGGTTGGTGCTTTTGTCTTTTTTTATCCCCTTTAATTCTAAATTCAGGTGTCGAAATGAGGGATTCCTCCAGAAACCTTTATAGATGTGGCAAGGTGGGACCACAGGGAGTCCTGAGGTG